GTTGTTATTTGGGTTTGGGGTAGACAAAGTTGCTCTTACTTCTCCAGCTCTAAACTTTACAACGCTCCGGTTTCTTTCACATCCCAGGGCCTTTCCCTCTTTCGCCCCCTTCATAGGCTTGCAAGGCCATTGGGGTTAGGCTTAGGGACTCAAAGAACAAGGTTTAGGGGTTAGGGCTTGGTATGAGGACTGTGCAGAGTTTGCGCGGATTCGTCTCAGTGGTTCGGGGGCTCTAGGTAAATCATGAAAGGGTGCCCGTAAACCCTACCCCAGGGTTTAGGGTTTTGGGGTGGTTTAGGGTTTCGGGTTCATCAAGTTTAGGGGGGTTTGGGTTTCAAGGCTTCAGGCCGAAGGGAGTTTCATGTTTAGGGTAGTTTTAAGGCTTAGGATAGTTTCCTAGGTAGGATAAGGGGGATTGGCTCTCTTAAACAGGGACCTTGTTGAGAGGGTCTATAGCCCAGGGTCCCCCTAGTCCTATCCCTAAACCCTAAACCCTAAACCCTAATCCCTGAACCCTGAACCCTGAACCCTAGACCCTAATCCTATCCCCTATAGTTTGAGTATGGTTTATTCTCAATGGTAGTCCACAGCTTCGGTCTGCGAGGTACACTGGCGAGGCCCTGGCGAAGATCGACGCTCGCCCTAAACCCCAAACCCTAAACCCTAAACCCGTAAACCCTAAACGCTGAACCCTAAACCCGAAACCCTAAATCCTAGGCGGTCAGCAGGGCCTAATGCAACCTTTCTTGGTGGTGGGTGGCCAACAGCATACTTGGCTTCGGCGGGGACCTTATAGGGCCTTCAGGGAGTTAGGGTTTTTGGGTTGATGGGCTTGGAACCCTAAACCCTCAACCAAAATCAGCGATTGCAGGGTTTGGGTTGAAAGATCGTCCCAGGGATTTTGGGGCTCAGGAATTGATCCTCTGAAAGTCTTTACTGAAAGCTCAATGCTTTCAGTGCTTTCAGGGTTGACAGGGTTTAGGGCATGCTTGGCGGTTCATGGGTACTTGAGCCCCAGTTATACGTCTGCTTCTAACCTACAGAGAGGACTTGACGTAGGGGACTGTTATAATTGGGGTTTTAAGTACCCTGCACCTGCGAGTGAGGGGGGGGGGGGGGGGGGGCTTAGAGGGCTTTCAGGACTCGCGCTTAAGGGAGCAAAGGGAGGGACCCCTAGAAGGGACCCTTGATCCTATTCCCCTATATAACCCCTATATATACCTAGTATATATGTATATATATATATATATATACGTTATATAATCCCTATATACTTAAATGGCCCCCAAATAACCCCTAGCTCACCCCTGAGGTCCCTTGACGCGCGCTGAAAGGCTCTTAGATTTTGTGGTTTAGGGTTTTGGGTTCAGGGGGCTCAGCCCGAATAGCGGCCCTAATCTTCTCAACGCAGACCCAGAAGCCCAAGCCCTCATCCCTCATAGTTCAGGGTTTTCGGGTTTAGGGTTTAGGGGTTCGACCTAAACCCATACCCCGCTCGAAACCTCGAACCCCCCTTTGTAGGGTCTCGGGACATTTTAAATGTTCCCCGTATGGGGTTTCAAGAGGCCCTAAACCCTAAACCCTAAAAACCTAAACCCTAAACCCTAAACCCTAAACCCTAAACCCTAAACCCTAAACCCTAAGGGCCCTCTTCGTTCCTGGAGCTGGAGCCAAGGAGTTCAAACCCGACAAAGTCGAGGCGCGCCACGAAGACACTGGCGCTGGAGCGAGGCCGCAGCAGGGGTTTAGGGTTTAGGGTTTAGGGTTTAGGGTTTAGGGTTTAGGGTTTAGGGTTTAGGGTTTCGGGTTTCGGGTTTCGGGTTTCGGGTTTCGGGTTTCGGGTTTCAGGTTGGTTTATAGGTTTTTGGCTTTCCCTTTGGTGCAAGGCTTAGGGATCTGGGTTTGGGGTTTATTGAGAGCGAGAGCGAGAGCGAGAGAGAGAGCGAGAGCGAGAGCGAGAGCGAGAGAGAGAGAGAGAGAGACAGACAGACCGCATTCGGGCGCGAACTTGCGCGTGGGGGCCTTGCGGGGACCCCTCATCCCGAGCAGCAGAAGAAGAAGAAGAAGAAGAAGAAGAAGAAGAAGAAGAAGAAAAAGAAGAAGAAGAGAGACCTGTTCAGGCAGATTTTGGGGTTTCAGGGTATCATACCCGCATACCAAATGCGGCTTGTGTCTCCAACACTGTGTCCGTCTTGCGATTGCATGAACACTAAACAGGTTTGTGATTGAGGGTTGACGCTTTAGGCTTAGGGCTTGAGTTTAGGGGGCGAATGGTCCTACCTCACTCGGGATGATTCGTAGTCGTGCGTCGGGCAGGGTATATGATCTGAGAGCTCATGTGGTCCGCAAGGTTGAAACCTGTGGTACGGCTGCAGCTTACCACTCACGTTAATGGCCCTGGCCCGGACGCCCCACTGCTGACCAGCAAGGGTTCACACCCCTAAGCCCTAGCTAGCGTCACTTCTGAAAGCCACACTAAACCCGAAAAAACCCAAAGCCTAGACATTTGCCTCACGCCGTGCGACTCAGGAAAAAAAGGGTTTGGGTCCAGGGCTTTGCGGTTCAGAGTGGGGCGAAACTTCATTTAACTAGACTCCAGACCCTATAATGCCCTAAAATGCTCTAAGCCCTTGAACACCCTATCGAGAGAATTATCACCCCCAAAGCCCCAGTCGGGGCTTAGGGGTTTAGGGTTTAGGGTTTAGGGCTGAGGGTTTAGGGTTTAGGGCTTAGGGCTTAGGGGCTTAGGGTTTAGGGTTTAGGGCTTAGGGCTTAGGGCTGAGGGCTTACAGGACGAAGACGCAAGCTTTGCTCTACGCTGCGAAGTGGCGCCCTGACGGGAAGAAAACGTTTGAGGCGGGGAGGGCTAATGCGCCCTGCTCCCTAATATTAATACCCCCCTAATATTAAAAAAAAAAACTCTGGCCCAAAATCCCGATCCCGTGCCGGTCCCTATTCAAACCTCTACAGAGAGCGGCGGGGGAGGGGGGGGGCGGGGGTTGGGGGGCCTGCTGCAACTTCTTCGTTGCTTGAGGGTTTAGGGGGCTGGGTTTTTTAGGTTCATATAGTTCTTCATTGCTTGAGGGTTGAGGGCGTAGGGCTAGGGTTTAGGGTTCATGGTTGCCTGCCTGTGGTTCACGGGTAGGTGTGACACGGTGGGTCGTAAGTGCCTAACATGCAACATGGGTTTCCTTACTTCTCGCCTTCAAGTACCCTGCCCGCCGTTCTGCGGGCTGAGGGTTTAGGGTGTGACAAGAGTGAGAGACTTCGGCACCTAACCCAAAAAGGATGGGGTATGCTGCAAGCTTGCTAGGTAGGGTTTGGGAAAGATTATGGGGAGGACTGTGGCGGGGTCCACCCACAGTGTTTCCGGAGGCATCCACGTTGCAAAGGTTTAGGGGTTAGGGCATTAGGGTTTGGGGTTTAGGGTTTAGAGTTAACAGGTTTACGACGGCTTGGGTTCTTTGGACATTCGGGCCTCATGAGGTCTAGACCTAGTACCTGGAGGTTCATGACATGGCACTTATTAGCCAATTAGGACTGCACTTATAACTGTACTTATAGCCATCTTAGGGCGCTTCTAAGTGGGTTAGAAGTACAGTTAGAATTGGTTAGTAAGTGCCATGAACCTCCAAGTATAGGGCACTCAGAATTTAGGGTTTAGGGTTTAGGGTTTTCAAGTTCTCATCTGCTCTTCGGTCAATTGAGTTCTAGGGGAAGGGCCAGAGCCGGCCAGGGTTATTTGAAGCCAGGGTACCACTCCGAAGTAGGGCGCGTGCCAATAGGGTTTAGGGTTTAGGGGTTAGGGACCCGCAACTGATTTGTCAACTTCACGGAATGGGTACTGTGATTCTTTGCTATCAGTTGAAGTGTCCACGCTCAGTTTGTCATTCACTTGTCGTGGGAATCTTACCTATTCGTTTGCTTTTTATGACCTCCAGGCTATATATAGTGTTATCGGATGTCTCGAGGGAAATACGGCTGCAGTGGTTTACCGCGCGTTTACCATAAGATCCAGGTTGCCATCGATGTTGCACTTCGCAAGCAAACCAATGAGCCAACAACATCCCTGATTCCGATGATAAGGAACCCTAAGCCCCTAAAACCAGTGAGGCAAAGAGACTTGCAAAGCCACGCGTCTAAGCCCTAAACCCTAAACCCTAAACCCTCAACCCTAAACCCTAAACCCTAAAAACCCTAAACCCTAAACCCTTCGTGCAGGATCGTCCGGCGAGTCCTGCGCGCGACGGCGAGAAGAGGGCCAAAGGCCCACTACGGATAGTCACCCCTTGGAGGTTCATGGTACTTATTCACCAAATCTAACTGTAACTTCTTACTGTACTTAGAACCATCTTAGGGCACTTAAGGGGCTTATAAGTGGGATATAAGTACAGCGATAATTGGTTTAACAAGTACCATGACCTCCAAGCAGTCCCCAAGCCCCAGATGCATCCCCAAAATCCTGTCCTTAGGGTTTAGGGTTTAGGGTTTAGGGTTTAGGGTTTAGGGTTTAGGGTTTAGGCTTTAGGGTGTAGGGTTTAGGGTAGGCCCTTGGGACATTCGTTTTTCTCCCCTTATTGGGTTTGAGAGGCTCATATTCCGGCTTGTGCCCTGACAACGCTGAGACTGCTCGGGCTTTGGAACTCCTTCATCCCCAGAGAGCTCCTCCCGCAGCTCGACCGCCGCAGGAACTTCCTCTTGCGCCTGAAGTCGCAGCTGAGGTGGTGGCCCGCTGCCTGCGTGCTTTTCCTGCTGAAACAGCCCCGGGGCCCACTGGCCTCCGTGTGCAGCACTTGCGCGACGCCTGCATTGCTGGCGGACATGAGGCCTTCCTCTCGCAGCTCACTGCTGTCGTCAATGTTCTTGCTCAAGGACGTGCTCCGCCTAGTGTCGCCCCTGTGTTGGCCGGGGCTGGGCTGGTCGCACTGCCGAAGGCCAGCGGGGGCGTCCGGCCCATTGCTGTGGGTGAGCTCCTGCGCCGGCTCACTGGCAAGTGCCTGATGAGTCTGGTCCGTGATGAGGCTCGCGCCTATTTCTGGCCGGCTCAGGTTGGGGTCGCGGTCAAAGGAGGTGCAGAGAAAGCGGTCCATGTTCTGCGGGCTTGGACTAACCGCCACGCGGGTTCTTCTCGCAAGGTTTTGGTCAAACTGGACTTTGCCAATGCCTTCAACTGTGTCCACCGGGACACCGTACTTGATGAAACTACAAACCGCTTCCCTGCTCTGGCACGCTGGGTTACTTGGTGCTACCGGCAACACACGCGGCTCCAGTTTGGAGCTCGCGCCCTGGAGTCCTGCTCTGGTGTTCAGCAGGGCGACCCGCTCGGGCCGCTGCTGTTCGCAGCTGCCTTGCAGCCTCTCGCCAGCCAGCTCCACCAGGGCAGGACCCTGGACATTGCAATGCACTTCCTGGATGACGGTGTGCTTGCCGGTGACATTGCCGCGGTCAGTGCTGCTCTGACCCTGGTCCAGCAGCAGGCCTCCGCAATTGGACTGCAACTCAACCTGCGTAAGTGCGAAGTTGTGGCTTTGGGACCTATTGATGAGGGCACCATGCGCGCAAGTTTCCCGGCTGCCCTGCTGCTCCATGCTGATGGTTCTGGGAGAGTGCTCAGGAACTTCGAGTTCCTGGGGGCCGCTATTGGGGACGACGACTTCATCCAGACACACACCCTGGCGCGGGCAGAAAAAGCGGGTGAATTGCTGGAGGCGCTGGCCGAGCTTGAGGACCCCCAGGTGGGACTACGCTTGCTGCGGGCGTGCGCCGGCTTCTGCCGCATGGTTCACAGCATGCGCTGTAACCCGCCTGCAGCTCAGGCTGCAGCTTTGGCCCACTTTGATGGGCTGGTGCGGCGGTGCCTCGGTGGTCTCACTGGCATCCATGTTACTGCTGAGCAGTGGTTGCAAGCCTCTCGAGGGCTCGCGCACGCGGGGCTTGGGCTGCGCTCTTGCTCTGCCCATGCGCCTGCTGCCTACTTGGCCTCGGTGGGGGCCTCCCTGGAACACTGCAGTGACCTCGACCCCAACTTCTCAAAGGAGGCCGTTCAAACCTCGAACCATGTGGTCGGGGCTTTCCACCTGTTCCAGAACGCCGTGGGCAGTCGGGTTGCTACGCTTGCTGCTGCTTTGCAAAGCAAGCAACGCGACCTGTCTCAGCTTTTGGACTCCACCTGCTTCGCTGCCCAGCTTGAACACAGCAGCCACGTCGCTCGGGCTGCCCTTCACTCTGAAGCGGGGTTGGGGGCGCGCGCCTTCCTCAACGCCATGCCCTCAGGACGCACGCGCATGGAGCCTGCCGCCTTCATTGCCGAGTTGCGAATCCGCCTGGGGGTGCCCGAAGCCACTGATGATTGCTGGTGTCCTCGCTGCGATGGGGTCTTGGACTGCTGGGGCTACCACGCTGGCATGTGTGTGGCTGGCGGCGAACGGACTCTGAGACACAACGCTGTCCGTGACCTTGTGTGTTCCTGGGCTGAGCGGGCTGGCCTTCGGCCGGAGAAGGAGCGCCCGAACCTTCTGCTGCCCACTTGCCCTGAAGACACGCAGACAGGCAGACGTCGCCCTGCCGATGTCTTTCTGCCTGCCCTTGCTGGGTCTCCCGCTGCGCTTGGCTTCGCTGTTACAGCGCCTCAGCGGCAGGAGACCCTAGCACTGGCAGGCAGGGAGACAGGCGCGGCGGCTGCTGCCTACGCCCGCCACAAGGAGGCGCACTTGGGCACTGCGCAGGCCTGTGAGGGCCAGGGCGTGGTGTTTGTGCCGATGGTGGTGGAATCCACAGGCACATGGGACAAAGGTGCGGGCATCGTCCTCCAGCACATTGCGCGGGCTGTGGCTGCGCGGACTGGCGAGGAGCCCCAGCGTGCACATTCCGCCCTCATGCAGGAGCTGTGCGTTCTGATCCGTGCCCATCGGGCGCGGGCGGCCCTGCGCCGCCGCGCTGAAGCTGCGGAGACATGATGCTTGGAAGCAGCATGGAGCTGCGCTGGGGGAGACCCGGTGTACTGGGGGTGTACTGGGTAGATGTGGACGCCCGCTCGTACAGTACGACACGGGCCCACGACCCTGTGTAAATGTCTGTCCATGACTGTGCACGTTGGAAGGGGCGATGCTGGAGGCAAAGGATTTCCGCACCTTCCTGGAAGCACGGAGCTGCGCTCGGGAGGACCCGGCGTAGTAGGGGGGGGGCGGTTGACGGGCCTTGCTGCGTCTTCCGTCCGCGACCCTTAGTGTCGGTTTTGCTCGGTGGAGCGCTGCTTGCTAGAATCGTCTTGATGCTTGGAGTTCTGGCATGGGTTTGAGCACCTGCTCAGCGGTTGCCACAAGCAGCTGCGAAGTTCCAGAATTTCCTCTACATGCCAGACACAAGCAAAGCTGTGCTGGAATGCATCTGTAACCGTGGGCGCAGCATGGTTCACATCAAATCAGTGAAGGTCGAGTTTCACTCCTTCATACTCCTGTGAAGGCATAGTGCATCTGAGGATCATAAGATCTGCTGGCAATGTCGTGTGCCTTGTCCGATCTGTTGTCGTATTCCGGAATCTGTTTAAAAAGGGTGCCTTTCAGGGCCATCCTAGTGTCTGACTCCCCTTCCCAAATTAGGACCTGAACCCTCAACCCTAAACCCTAAACCCTAAACCCATAACCCATAGGGCCTTGACGAGGTAGGGAAGTCCCGCTGGGTTTAGGCACCAAGGGAAGCCCAAAAGAAGCCAAGTGCCCACTAGCTCGTTTAGGGTTTAGGGTTTAGGGTTTAGGGGTTAGGGTTTACGGTTCAGGGTTTAGGGTCTGGGGTTCGGGTTTATAAGGGCTCAGGGTTCAGGGTTCAGGGTTTAGTTGCCGATGTTTTCCCGGTGGAATCGCCGCCTACCCTATCACAGACGGCCCACAGCACCCATTCTGGGATGGTGGCAAGGGGACTGCGGTGCTTTAAAGCATGGGCCTAAGATTGTAAATCCCCAAGTAGTAGGATTCCCTTAGAACAAAGATCCCAATAAGGGTACCCCGAAATTCGGATACCCCCACATTGGTTGGGTCATGTAGGCCATTGCGACATGTCCGGAAGCCTTGTATGGCAACGGGCGGAGAGTCGCCCAAGCCCAAATAACCCTACTTGGAGGTTCATGGTGCTTAGTAACCAAATATAACTGTACTTATACCCCAAATTATAACTATATTTGGGCACTTAAGGGGCTTCTAAGTACAGTTATAAGTACAGTTTTAATTGGTTAATAAGTACCATGAACCTTCAAGTCAGCCTAAACCCTATAAACCCTTTCGGGCCTGAATCTTGATCAACCGCCGTCCCTAGGCCGTAAACCGAAAACCCTAAACGCCAGGCCTGCCCTGACCCAATATAAGGGCCTTGATAATTCGAGTAGGGTTTTGGGGGCTGTTATTGCAGAAATTTATAGGGACCATAGGAAATCCATTAGTAATTCTTCCGGCCCCTCCATGGCTGAGTAGTTACTGCTCCGTTAAAAGCACTCAAGATGGAGCCCTAGACCTGGGGATGTTCCACCTTATACCCTAAACCCTAAACCCTAAACCCTAAACCCTAAACCCTAAACCCTAAACCCTAAACCCTAAACCCTAAACCCTAAACCCTAAACCCTAAACCCTAAACCCTAAACCCTAAACCCCTAAACCCCTAAACTAAACCCTAAACCCTAAACCCTAAACCCTAAACCCTAAACCCTAAACCCTAAACCCTAAACCCTAAACCCTAAACCCTAAACCCTAAACCCTAAACCCTAAACCCTAAACCCTAAACCCTAGCAGCTCCTTAGTAGGGATTATAGTACCCCCGACAATAATCGTTATTAAGGACTGTGAGTATAACGGGGACCATTCCAACCTGAACCCTAAGCGCTAAACCCTAAACCCTAGAGACCCTATAAACCCTGTATACCCTAAAACACCCTTAGAAACCCCTAAACCCAAAACCCCAAAGCCCCAAACCCTTGCAGCAATCCCTCAGGCCTAAGCCCCTAAACCCTAAACACCTAGACCCCTAGACCCCTAAACCCCTAAACCCCTAAACCCCTAAACCCCTAAACCCCTAAACCCCTAAACCCCTAAACCCCTAAACCCTAAACCCTAAACCCCTAAACCCTAAACCCTAAACCTAAACCCTAAACCCTAAACCCCAAACCCTAAACCCTAAACCCTAAACCCTAAACCCTAAACCCTAAACCCCAAAACCCTTACAGGAATCCCTCAGGCCTTCCCTCCGCCGCTGCCGCTGGAGCTGCTGGCCCTCCCGCTGGCGGCGCGTACCGGCCCAGGACCTTCCGGTCGGTTTTTTTTTTTTTCTTGGGGGGGGGGGGGTTTAGGGTTTAGGGTTTAGGGTTTAGGGTTTAGGGTTTAGGGTTTAGGGTTTAGGGTTTAGGGTTTGGGGTGCTGAGGTGCTGAGGTGCTGGGGTGCTGGGGTGCTGGGGTGCTGGGGTGCTGGGGTGCTGGGGTGCTGGGCTGGGGTCTAGGGTTTAGGGTTTAGGGTTTGGGTCTATATCCCCCAATGCTCGCTAACCTCCCCCTTTCCTTTTTTCCTCGAGTCTCCAGAGGCTGAGCAAGCGGGGCAGGTGACGATCAAAAAGCTGAAGTTCCAATATCACAACCTCAGCAACCAAACAGAACCCTAAGGGTCCATGTCATTCAGGGTTTAGGGTTTCGGGTTTAGGGTTTACTGTTTAGAGTTTAGCCCTAAGGGTCCATGTACCTCACTATTATTACATACTTGGGCCCAAAAGTCCCTAAATACGAGGTACTTTAAGGCCCAAGTATCCCCTATTTAGGTACATGGACATGGACCCCTAGGGGAAGTGCCGAAAGGCGAAAGCGATTCGGCATTCCAGACAATTCTGATGTGGATGGCTTCGGCCCCTGACTGATGGCTCGAGTTGCCCTAAACCCTAAACCCTAAACCCTAAACCCTAAACCCTAAACCCTAAACCCTAAACCCTATATAAACCCTAAACGCCCTAAACCTGCTGTGGCATACGCAGGGCTTGAAGACGCCTTGTGCAGGACCAGACGGCAACCCTAAACCCCAGGAAATGATATTGAAGTGGCCGTGGGCCCCATGCAAGGGTAGACCCAAGGTTTCATGAGGCTTCTTCAGGGTTTCAGGGGGCGACCGTTTAGGGGGCTTTCAGGGTTTCATGGGCTTACGCGTTTGAATTGAGCTTTATGAATTTTAGGGGTTTAGGGGGTTAGTGTTTTGACGAGTTTGGGGGTTTAGGGTTGGCTGCGTGGGGGTCGATTTTGTGTTCGAGGTGCCCTAAAATCCCCAAAGTCCATTTGGACTTCTGGTCATGAACCTAGTAGAGTAGGTAACCTTTAACCTTTTGGGGTAGCATAATCCCCTTATAATCTCAAAGGTTAACCTTCAGATCCCCCAGGTTACTGGACAACTAGGTAAAGAAACAGGAGGTCTGATCTCAAACGAGCCATCGGTCTTCGGTGGCTAAAGGCAAGCATCCGGAGCCCCTAAGCCCGTACTAAACCCCTCAACCCCCAGACTCCTACCTTAAACAGCTTACCCTTGCTTGGTAGGTTGGTATTCTGAAATGCATTCCCAGATAGCCTACAAACAAGTAGGTTAGGGGTTCTCGAAACGCTAAGCCCAAAACACCTGAAGTTTAAACCAGAAACCCTAAGCCCAAAGCACCTGAACCCTAAAACCCGAGCGTGGAGCGTGGGCCCCAAAACCCTAACCCTAAACCCCAACCCCTAAACCCTAAACCCTAAACCCCAAACCCTAAACCCTAAACCCTAAACCCCAAACCCTAAACCCTAAACCTTAAGCCAGGAATGCTGACGGCGGCTTGAGCACGGTGGCAGCCATGATGCGTGGCGAGGTCTCGGCCTGAACCTTTTTTGAAGGGGCTGTTGGGGAACCCTAAACCCTAAACCCTAAACCCTAAACCCTAAACCCTAAACCCTAAACCCTAAACCCTAAACCCTAAACCCAAAACGCTAAGCTGTAACATTGCAGGGCTGGGAGTCAGAGGGTTGAAGGGCTAGGATGGTCGGGGGGGCTTGGGGTTTAGGGCTTAGAGTTTAGGGTTTAGGGTTTAGGGTTTAGGGTTTAGGGGTTTAGGGTTTAGGGTGCAGGATCCGGAATCTGGGGCCTGCTGTCGAGGGTTCGAGGGCTTCAGCACTTGAGGGTGGTCATGGTGGGTCCGTTGTTTGAGAAGATGTATACACTTGTACATGTAGATGTATGCGTCACCTATATATATATATATGTATATATATATATATGTGAGAGGGACCTTTTGGGTCCATTTCACGTATATCACTTGTATGAGGAATTTAATTTATTTACCTATTAATTTCTTTAATTTCTTTAATTTCTGGGGCTCTCTTGGGGAAATAAATGAAATTAAAGAAATTAATTAATTTCATTAATTTCTTTAATTTCTGGGCCTCTCTGTGCGAAATTAAAGAAATTAATGAAATTAATTAATTTCTTTAATTTCATTAATTTCTTTAATTTGTTTTAATTAGTCCCGTGAGCCGGGGGGGCTCCCACAATTAATTTCTTTAATTTCTTTAATTTCTGGGCCTCTCTGTGAGAAATTAAAGAAATTAAAGAAATTAATTCCGGTAGCCCTTCGGGCTTGCGAGACTAATTAAAAGAAATTAATGAAATTAAAGAAATTAAAGAAATTAATGAAATTAATTAATTTCTTGAATTTCTTTAATTTCTGGGCCTCTCTGTGAGAAAATAAAGAAATTAAAGAAATTAATAAATTTCATTAATTTCTTTAATTTCTGGGCCTCCCTGTGAGAAATTAAAGAAATTAAAGAAATTAATTAATTTCATTAATTTCTTTAATTTCTGGGCCTCTCTGTGCGAAATTAAAGAAATTCAAGAAATTAATTAATTTCTTTAATTTCATTAATTTCATTAATTTCTTTAATTTATTTTAATTAGTCCCGTGAGCCGGGTGGGC